AATATGATTAAATTATAATTCCTTCGCATATGTCACTGTGATGCCTTTCATTACTTTATAACCAATCAGTTGGAGCTACATTTCCAGGTCCTGCCAGGAAAAGCACCTGAAGCACTTGTCAGGTTGGTAACTACATTTCAGTAGACAAGTCAATCAGAGGATGATGAGACTGGCTGTCCGAGTAAACAACTAGCAGTCTAATCTTGTTTACTTGGTGCTAAATATGGCTTCAGTACAACTAGCTGCTTGCACAACTACTGTTTTGTTTGTCCTTTGCTACAAGTGACCCTATCTATTATTGTACACAATAAACATCAAATTGTGCTTGTTTTTCTAAGTAAACACAGAAAGGCCCAGGACATAGGGGCATATAACTGTGTGCCAAGACATGTGGCTGGGCATTACATCTCTGATCACTTTGTTGACAATAGATACAGTAAGAGGAATAAATAAATTGAAGTTGGAAGTTTTTCGGCTGCACAATACTGACAGCGAGCGCTTAGAGATATTGACCCATATTCATCATCTAAAAAATTAATCACTGGAGCATTTCTTTAAGGTAGTTGCTTTTGTTTACACACAGGACTTAATTCACAACTTAATAAACTTTAAACAGACGTGTGGGTTAATGTGTGAGCTGATATTTAGACCAATCCCAGGAATAAACAAAAGGCTTATGAATGGAAAAGCAAAAACCAAAACAAAGCATGAGCAGTGGTATATTTTGGTTTTGTGAGCTTGCAGGCAGTGACAGCTGAATGATTGGTAGATGAGTAGATATTTTTTTGGGGTCGGCCCAGATCACCTTAGGGATCTGGAAGTTCTTCAGTGCGCCACTATGCCCTCCCAGGAGCTGAGCAGGGAAGGAATCTGGAAGTTTAACACCAGAAGCAGACGAGGCTGGTTTGGAACCATCTTGCCTATTGCTGCTCCGACCAGGCTCTCCAGTGGAAGAAGCCCGGAAGCCAGACCTATCTCTGTCACTGCGGCAGCGAGGGTCAGGAGAACGTCGGTCTCGACCACCAGTCTCGCTCCGATGCCTCCTATCTCTGTCAGATTCTCGGTCCCTGTCTCGTCCGTGTTCCCCACGGTTTGATGACTTTGGCATCTCTCCTCGTCTGTCCGAGGATTTCTCATCGTGTCGGTGCTTTGATGAATCCCGACCTTCTCTCCTGCCGTCATGTTTATCAACCCTGTTCTTGATGACTTCCGGCCGCCCATCTGGTTTCAACCGTAAAGCTGTGTCAGAACCTTCCACAGCAGCCGGCCCACTAGCTGGTTCTTCAGGCCAGCGTTGGGCCTCAAGGGCTGGAATAGGGGCAGCCAAACAGGGGTCAAGCTGGCCATCAGCTCGGCCTGCCTGCTGAAGATCGATGCTCACCATGAGGGGAGGGCGGCTGGCACCGTTCCCAGCTGCGGTGGCCTCTTGTGGGGTTAGTTTGCCAGCATTTCCCCCGCCTGTTGATCCACTTCCTGGGGCACCTGTGGGGCCACCTGGCCCACCTGCTCCTGGCTCCAGGGGAAAAGAGTCCTGTTTTCTCTTCTTCAAAGGCTTGTCTGCAAACAGAAAACCATGACACTCAGAAAAACATCCAAAGTTATGGGTTTGTATCCATACAGACACTTTCAGTAATATCCTACTCACCTTTATCCTGCACTTCCTTGGAACACTTCTCACTAGCCGCTTCTCGTTCTATCCTTTCGATTTCAGCAAGGGCATCCAGCTCTGCCTCGTCATAAGGGGAACTGGGAGGCTGGAGACCACTGGCACCACCTTGGTGGGAGATCTGTTGCAGCCGAGCTCCTAGGTTTTGCTGAAGAACAGGAACTTGCTGAAAGCCCAGTTCTGCCTCCATGTTGTCTGAGTTCTGGTCCATACCCGGCATGTCACCTGGGATATTAACAAAAAACAGGGTTGTAAATAAAAGGGCTGATGATTTCTATTGCTGCAAAGATTCAGACTGACAAGATTATTAGTTTGTTCTTAAAAGATGGGAGTAAAGCTCTGACTGAGATACAAAGTCTACTCTTACCTGGATCGGACTCATTTGACTTGACCCGGGACAGTTTGAGGGTGAGTTTCGTCGAGTCCTTGTTTGGCGAGCTGACAATATCGTACATGTCCTTCTCCTCTTTCACCGCTGGGGTTTTCTTCCTTTGCTGGAGCTGCTGTTTCTGGTCAGGGCCTCCCTCCCTCGGTGAGGGTGCATAGGGGGGTGGTGACTGCAGAATCAGCGGGGGGCGAGAACCAGCTGTGAGGGAGCAACACCAAATGTAGAAGAGAGTTACCCTTCAAATGTATGTAGAAGAGCACATACCTGTCTGAGAGGTACTCTGATCCAATAAAGTGCAGTGCTATATACCAAGATGGCTATTAAAAATGAAATGAAAACCACTGTGGACTTGTAAGACTTTTGAGAAATGATAGTCTCAAACTATTCTGCTGCTGGGAAAGTGAAATTAGTAATATTTCCACCAGAAGCAGATACTCCCTAAATGCATTAGAGATTTGGGCAGAATGTATGCAGTGTATTTCCTCCTTTCCTCTTGCAATGGCCTTACATTTGGGCGTTCCTTCACTCCCTGCTGGGGAGCAGCCAGGCTGTGGAGACCTCAGAGGGAAAGATGTATTCCTCATGGCAGAGTCACCCTCCTAGACAACATATAGATGAGCATGAGCTTTACAGTGACAAAAACCTTTTTCTAGACAGAAAATCTAATTTTTGCCCAACTGTTGCAAATAAGGTTTCTTGTACAACGGAGCAGTAACTCTAGCGTACAGGTGCGTCTCAATTGTAGTTATATATGTAAGTGGGAGACCTA